CCCTGAACCCTGAAAAAAAAAGAAACCCTGAACCCTGAACCCTGAACCCTAAACCCTAAACCCTAAACCCTAAACCCTAAACCCTAAACCCTAAACCCTAAACCCTAAACCCTAAACCCTAAACCCTAAACCCTAAACCCTAAACCCTAAACCCTAAACCCTAAAACCCTAACCCCTAAGCCCTAAACCCGAAACCCTTGGCCTTTGTGTGGCTCAAGCCATCGGATGATGGCCGCGAATCGCCTACTGATCTTTTCATAAACGACCGCTTCTTGGCAAGTGAAAATGACGTCCTTCATGGCGCAGAGGCCGGGGGGGGGGGGGGGGGGGGGGGGGTTAGGGTTTAGGGTTTAGGGTTTAGGGTTTAGGGTTTAGGGTTTAGGGTTTAGGGTTTAGGGTTTAGGGCTTTCGAGATTTATGGTTTAGGGTTTTAGGGTTTTAGGGTTTAGGGTTCAGGGTTTTAGGGTTTTAGGGTTTAGGGCTTTCGGGATTTGTGGTTTAGGGTTTGAGGGAATTCGGGTTTAGGGTTTTAGGGAATTAGGGGTTTAGGGTTTTAGGGAATTAGGGGTTGGGGTTTTAGGGTTTTAGGGTTTAGGGTTTTAGGGTTTTAGGGTGTGAGGGCTTGAGGGAAGAGGGTTCAAGGTTTTAGGGTTTAGGGTTTTAGGGAAATGGGTTTTAGGGAATGAGGGTTTTGCGGAATGAAGGTTGAAGGCTCTGGTTTGGGGTTTAGGGTTTAGGGTTTTAGGGTTTAGGGTTTAGGGTGTGAGAGCTGGGCTGCTCAGTGGCTTGGTTTTTTGTGGAGGGGGGGTGCTTGGGGGGCTTGCGCTGTGTCTCTCTGATCCTTCGCAACCCCAGCCCCAAAAACCCAACGCGCTAGGCCCGAAGAAGAACTCTGAGAACCCGAAGCCCTCGCAAGTTAGCCCTAAACACCAAACCCTAAAACCCTAAACCCCTAATTGCCTAGCACCCTAAACCCCAATTCCCGGAAGCCCCAAACCCAAAACCCTAAAAACCCTAAGCCCTAAACCCTAAACCCCAAACCCTAAACCCTAAACCCTAAACCCTAAACCCTAAACCCGAAACCCTAAACCCTAAACCCTAAACCCTAAACCCTAAACCCCAAACCCTAAACCCTAAACCCTAAACCCTAAACCCGAAACCCGAAACCCTACACCGCGGAAGCCCGAAACCGTCACAGGATGGCAGGGTCCAGCGGGCCCTGCGACGCTCTTGCGGGGTCCTCAGCTTGGGGGGGGCGAAAACATGGGGGGGTTTAGGGTTTAGGGTTTAGGGTTTAGGGTTTAGGGTTTAGGGTTTAGGGCATAGGGTTTAGGGCTTAGGGTTTAGGGCATGGGGTTTCGGGTTTCGGGTTGAGGGTTAAGGGCTTAGGATTTAGGGTTTAGGGTTTAGAGCTTAGGGCTTGGGGCTTAGGGCTTGGGGCTTAGGGCTTAGGGTTCAGGGTTTAGGGTTAGGGTGTAGGGTTTAGGGATTAGGGTTTATGGTTTAGGGTTTAGGGTTTGCATTTTGGGGCTTCGTATGATCATGACGAACGCAGAGCAGTATCCACAGAAAGATCGATGAAAATACCAAGGAATAGTCCCGACATTGCCCTTACAAGGAAGAATATTTGACTTCAGGATCGAGGTTTCCGGGGCTTCTGGGGCTTCTAAGGGTACTAGGGCTTCAGGTGGGTAGGTCATTTGGATATTCAAGATGATTAACTTTGGGTGCCAGCCCTAAACTCTAAATCCAAGACCCAAACCCCAAACCCCAAACCCCAAACCCCAAACCCCAAACCCCAAACCCCAAACCCAAAACCCTAAACCCTAGGCGTCCCTGCAATTCTTAAGGATGCCAACGAAAGATTGCTGTACCTCCGAGACTACAAGGTGCTCGTAGAGGATGTGCAGAAGGATCGACAATTGGAGTCCTCGCTGCAGACGGAGAACGTTTTTCTCGGCAACAAGCCGATCCTCTTCCTGCAAACAGACGGCATGGACCAGGCGAAGTGGTCTGTTCCGCGCCGCTACGGCCATCGCCAGGAAGGCAGGCCTTGTCAGGGGCAGCTTGGTCCAAGATAGTGAAGTACCCTAAACCCTAAACCCTAAACCCGAAACCCTAAACCCTAAGCCCTAATCCCTAAACCCTAAACCCTAAGCCCTAAACCCTAAAGCCTAAACCCTAAGCCTAAATCCTAAACCCTTAACCCTAGTCCCCAAACCCTAAACCCTAATCCCTAAAACCTAAACCCCTAAACCACTAAACCCTAAACCACTTTGTCGTGAATCAATGCTAAATCCTGGCCAGGCCACGTATGACGACTCAGGGGCTTTGGCTTCAGAGTACCCGAACTTGCAAGGCTGTACAGCGTTGAAGATGGCCGCAGCCCCCAAAAACCCTAGAAAGCTCCATAGAGGTCTAGGGTTAGGGAGTGAGGGTTTAGGGACAGCCCCTAAAAACCCTGAAAGCCTTCAAGCCCTAAAAGCCCGCAACGTCCAAAGACCTGGGAATCTTAAAGCTCCTAAACACCCTAGGCTCCTAACCGCCCTAGCAATCCTAAACGTGTCCGGTGCCGAGGAACAGAATGCGCTTGTGAAGGCTCTCACGCTTTATGCGGCTTGGCTCTGGATCTAGGGTCGCCAAACACCAGGGTTTCGGGGTTCAGGGCTTCGGGTGTAGGTTTAGGGTTGAGGGTTGAGGGTTCAGGGTTTAGGGCGTCGGGTGTTGAGCTCTAGGGTTCAGGATTTGGGGGATCAGGGTGCAGGGTTTCGGTTGTCGGGTTGAGAGCAAGGGCTTCAGGCGTTTGATGATTATCCTTTAGAAGGATCTGGGCTTTCCCAGACATTTGGGGTGCCCCTTTTTTGGGGGCTATTTTTGGGAAGTGCCGATATCAGAACTTTTTGTGGTGGTTTCGGTTTGGCGCTGACGAGTTCGATAGGCCCTGACCCGCACACTGCCTTGCCCGGGCAGGGGCGATAGTTCAGAGTTTGAGTTTCAGGCTCACGGGCGTAGGGGGTGGATGGGGGTGTGGGGTGCAGGGGGTGTTGGATGTATGGTTTATGCTTCCTTGCGCGGTCCCTTGAGGCCAGTTTGCTCAACAAGTAGCTGCAGGCTTAATACAAACCTCGGGGAGTTCAGGACGTAGGGTTAGGGTTCAGTGGTTAGGGTTTAGGGTTTGGGGTTTAGGGTTTAGGGTTTATGGGGGTAGGGTTTAGGGTTTGGGGTTTAGGGTTTAGGGGGTAGGGTTTATGTGGGTGGGGTTTAGAGGGGGGGCTTTATGGCTCCGTGGGGCTTAGCAGCTCTAGGGGTTGCAGGTTCGCAGTTTCGGCTTTGCATCTGGCATTGCTGCTGAGTCATGACGAGTTGCATGATGCTCAGCATGCAACCTGAATCCTCAACCCGAAGCCCTAAACCCTAAACCCTAAACCCTAAACCCCAAACCCTAAACCCTAAACCCCGAAACCCCAAACCCAAAAACCCTCAGGCCGAGCATCGTTTCTAGTTGGACCAGGTAAAACTATGGGGCCGCCGCTAGGGGCCCTAAGCCTCCCTAAGTCGCCCCTGGACCCTAAACCCTAAACCCTAGCCCTAAACCCTAAACCCTAAACCCTAAACCCTAAACCCTAAACCCTAAACCCTAAACCCTAAACCCTAAACCCTAAACCCTAAACCCTAAACCCTAAATATAAATAAACACACCCTTAACCGTGGAGTTCCTGGATCTCTTAGGTACGCCGATCGAGTCACTCTTTTTCAGATTCTTGAGCCAAACACGTTCCGAATAATTCTCAAATGGCTGTTCGCTGCACAGGCTGTTCTCCGAAGAGCTTCCATGTCCGACAGTCCTTCGCATGCAAGATTCAGCTCTTCACCAGAAGCATCATGTAGCTTCTGCTCAGCTTGATTTGCGAGGTCACGAACCACCGCTTCATGGATCAACTATCATATCGTATTGGTGGGTTAGTTATATACCATATATAGTGTAACATATTCACACCCCCGCATAACTAAGCAACCAATACTTCCCACATTCGTATGTTGACCTCGAAGTTGCCTGTCCCGGAAGCATCGGCCATTAACTTTGGACGTGGCAAATAGCTTGTTGCCACCGTTCCCATGCAATGAAACCGGAGCTGAACACTTCGCTCACAAGCGCCTTGCTGATGGATATCGGTCATAGACACCACAAGCGCGGCCAAGAATAGCATGCGGGCACATAGCTCAGGATATCGGTCGAGACCCACTGTACTTCAGCCATGTCTCCTGCATGCCTTGCAGCAGATGGAGCAAACCATGTCATCAGTGACTTTGTCAGAGAAAACGCCCGAGATGGCTCCAGTGCTTCGCAAGTGGAGGCGCCCATGCTCCCGAATCTACAGTCTTCATAGAGGCACCGTATACCGAAAATCTGTCAACAATCCTCTGAATCCATGGAAAAAGTCCACAACAAGAACATTTGAAACTCACGCTTTCAATATGTTTCACGATAACCGTTGAGTCCACCGATACATGTACAACAAGAAGGGAGCGGGCTCTTAAGCAAGGGCTAAATTGCAACCGTTTACAAGTCTAACCGAAACAGCGCCTACAAAAAACTATGCACGGCCGAACTTGTATGCTAGAGTTCCTGTTTCATTGGACTAATGAATGCTAGTATTGAGGTATATATGTATATATACATATATATATATGTGTATATATATATATGTAACGAACCTTCCTTCGCCCATTATGAATGAAGCAGGATTTCGGTCACTGGCATTCAGCATGATGCAAGCAACAACTGCAGATCCTTCTGCAAAGGCGACGTACAAAAACTCCATGACAAGCACTCAACTCGACATGCAACGGCCAGCTGTCAACATCAACATGGCAAGCTCACTTGAAGTGACCAACAAAAGGTGGCATCGCAGTGAGCAGCTCATTCAAGACTGCAGCCTTCAACTCAACGTATCCACACTGCGCACGAAAAACAACGAATTTACTAGTGGGCAACACCTTGGTACCCATGTCTGCAAGGAGCTCACAACCAGGCTTCCAAGTCAGGCACACCTCATTGTCTGACAACTTCTGTCGGATCATATGACACCTGATTGAGAAGTGGCGCGACTGGCGAGTTTCACCCTTACTCAGCAAAACAATTCGAGCAGACTGCGCATCTGTAAAAATTTCAGGGATTGGGGCGCCTGCCCCAGCAACATGAACGACGACATCTTGCACGCAACTGATTTCAGCAACGGCAACAGCAATGGCAGCAATCTCTGACTCACAGGAGGAAGTGGCCACTATTTGCTGCACACGCGACCAATGCTTCACCAAGGACCCAAACGCAAAAATGTACCCTGCGCTTACCGATCTTCGCTTCAAGTACTCCATGGGAGCCCATGACGCATCAGTGTAAGCAGCAACAGGGATATTGACATCTTGCTCTGAAGACGGATACCTCAATGCAAGGTGTTCACAGGAAAGTAAGAAGCGGAGGACTGCCCTTAAAGCTCGTTCATGCTTGTTCAACGGAGCACTCTGTCCCGTGCTCAAAAGCATGATAAAAATGGCCAAGTCACCACGTACCAAACCGAACCAAGACAGCCTGCCCAAAACAGTCCTGTATCTCGTGGACGCCTCTCTGCTCAAAGCGGCGCATGCCTCCTCAGAGGTGTCCTCAAGGATCTTGTCGATTCCAGGGACGCTCGGCGAGGGTTTTGCAATTTGGAAGGCATCAAAACAAGGCTTCAAATAGTTCGCGGGCATAGACATGTAGATAGCACAGTCTCCAGCATGTCTCTCCAGCACTCTGCCGAGAAACTCAAGCCTGCTGGAACCCTCAGTTGAAGGCAGCAACGTTCCAACATGGCGAACTTTGAGATCTCGCTGCAGCTCAGCAAGAAATTTCCACCCCAAGCGTTCACACGGACATGCCACCAAAAAATCGTCAACGTACGCCAGCAATGCAATCCAAACTCCATGGTAGTAGCCAGTAAACAAGCAACATTCCAAGGAACCGGCGTGCAGCCCCAACTGACTGACGACTCGAGTCAACTTGTTCGTCCACGCCAAACCAGCAACACGCAATCCATTCAACGCGCGGTCAAGAAGCAAGTACACTCGTTCCCAGTTTGCATAGAAGCAACCAGGCGGCATCTGTATAATTACTTGGTGCTTAGCATCAAGCTCGCTGGACATGAACGCTGTGGAGACATCAAACGCAAAGAGCCACATATCCAACATGGCAGCCCACGCGACAAGAGTGCGAAAGGTTTCCAAGTGGACGGTTGGAGATGAGATAGCTAACTGCCGGGCACTCTGGTCACCCCGCTTCACGATCTCTTGCACCACTAAGCGGCTCCTGACCTTTTCTGGGTCCTCACGCGAAGGTTTGGGGTTAAGAACCCAGCGTGTTGGTATCACCTTCATCCCTTCACGCTTGTAGGCCTCAACCTCCGTCCAACTAAGGGGCCTCCCTCAGCTCAGTAAGCATACCCTCGAAGGTTTTCTTCGGGCTAAGCAACAGACCGGTACCATCAGCAACACAACGTTTTGGCTCTGCGACAGTGATCTGCGCACCACACAAGGAAAACGAAACCGTCGCTGGCTCCTCACTAAAATAAAGGGCATAGCAAAACAGTAACTTTTGAACAAAAGTGGATGCAGCATTCTCATCCAAATCTGGCTGCCCAAAGTTATAGGCAACACAAAGACTATCAACTTCAAGGTCCATTGGCCCAGCCACTTCACTAGAAGCTGCACGGGACTCAGGCTGGACATCTATTTGAACCATTTCAGCGTCTTGAACCGTCACATCAGCAGAACTGCTCTGAACAACTGGAAAAGAACTAAATGCAGGTTGACGAAGCTCTGTGGCTGGCACTTCGAGAGAAGCTCCCTCGTCAAGCTTCATTTTCTTCCTTTCATCTGCATCATCTGCTATTGCAGGCACTGGCATTGACAAGGGGTTTGTTTTCCCGCGCGTTCGGTAATAGGGTAGGATTTGAACACCTTCTCCCTGCGGTATAGAAACATCTTGAGAAGCATCTGCGTCTGGCGAGGACAGCGTCTCACCACGAGGCTGTGCTTGCGGCAACGTATCCGGAAGTATCTTCTTATGATGTTCCTCATACCATGCAAGGTACCGCTGCTTGCAGGCTTTGTTGTGCACGTGCCCTTTGAAACCACGATCACAAGCAGTGCAGCCTGCAGTTTTACCATGGGCTTGAAACCAAGCAGCTGGAGGATTTCCCGTTAACTTCGGGGGCTCATATGTGGTCTGGGCTTCAGGGGTTACACCCTGGTGCAGGTTTCCACTCGTGCTGAAAAGCATTGGAGCCAATTCAGGCTTGCAGCTTAAAGAAACAAGAGCCCGAATAGCCCTTGCCACGAAAACCTGAGGAACACCCTCTAAAACGACGCAAACGCGATGCCCAAGCGAATTTAAAGCATGGCCAAGATAAGCTGCCTCTTCCCAGCGTGTGACATGCTTGATTGACTCTGGCAGCTCAGCTAGGACGCAACAACCTACCAGTGAGGACTTTGCTTGCGGTAGCTTCTTGCCTAACAACACTTCCATGGGCGCCAAGGTCTGCTCACAAGGGGCGCCAAAACGGTTGTGCGTTGTGCAAATGTACTGAAGCATGACTTCCAACGCAAGGTAGTCATCTCTAACCTCTACACCAAACGACTGTTTGAGGTCAGCTTTCAACACAGCCATTGTCTCTTTGACATACCTCACAGACCTTTCCCCGAGGCCTACTACTTCGTGCGCCTGCGGAGGCGCTTTTCTCACGGCCATACGTGTTGCTGTGTCAGCTGATTTCAGTAGGTTTCCTACGGCTTGCTCTGCATCGGTTATAACCTCAACTGCAAACCTTGTGTTAAGGCCGTCAAGCGCAAACTCCGACAGCCACTGCTTGATTAGAGACCTGGTGCGCTCTACGTTGGGGTACACAGGTATACAAGCAAGCATGTGAGACACTGACTCTACTAAAACCAAAGCCTTCTTCTTGCTAGGGTCAAGGAACAAAAAGTCAGCAACTAACGTGGGTACTGTGTGCTGTCCATGACCCTTGCGGCGATGTTGTTTGATGGCTTTAGATTTCAAACACTCCATGCAAAACGGGCTATAAGGAACATGACCTTGCGTACGGTGCTGCAGCAGTTCATGAGAGCCCAAGCGACCGGCCACTGCACTCGCAGCTTCGTCAGTCGGCTCGTCTTTTGGGCCACTCACACTCCCAGCGTGGTCAACTTGGGATTCACTTGAAGGAAAAATAGGAACACTGTTTGCAGCAGCAGACTGCTCTGTAAAGCTGCCAACACCAGCACGGTCCCCAATTGGACGAGCAACATCTGTTTCCTCACCCCTACAGGTCTCTTCACCGTCGGCTTTGCGCTTTATCGTGCTTAACTGACTCACGACATTTGTAGGCAAAACTGACAGATCCTTAGATGCACTTGGAAAAACTGCACGTATCCACGGGCAGCCGCCCCAAATAACCATGCCCTGGACGGCAACATCAAACCTGGAATGGACTAGACCCATCTCAAGAAAACCCAAAGTGAAAAGCCAACCCCTGTTAGCAAGCTGCGTCATAGACAGAATGTTGTGGCGGGTGTTACCCACATAACACTCAACAGTAAAACGCCGACTGGCAAGGGAACCCTTTTCACGATCACAAGAAGTGCGCACAGGCAAGGTGAGCTCTATACGAGCTTTGCCGGTCATTGTCACTGCACTGCCGTTGGCAGCTGTAAAGTGATCTTCCGGCTCAAGCCATTCAAGCACTTTGTACTTGTCACATTCAGCCAAGACACAGACCGCAGCACCACTGTCAAGCAACCACCAGTCTGCAGAATCAACTTCACCGCATATCTGTGTCAACAAAGGCAACAACAGACATGTACTCACGCGAAAAACTTTGCTTACGCAACAACATAATGCCTTGTTCAACAGTGCGCCGACGCACATGGCCAAGCCAAGCACAAGCCACAAGCACTCGCTCAAGCTCCCAACTGCTAACGGCAAGGGATCACGCAAAAACGCTCTCAAGTGGAAAACTGCCGACCGCCAAGGATCACGCCACAACTCCCTGACGTGGAAAACTTTGCGCACACAGTCACGAAATGTGCTCTCCAACCACGCGCCAAGAGCCATGGTCATGCCAAACACAAGCCAAAAACGTCCGCTCAAGCTGTCAAACACCGACTGCCAAGGATCATGCGAATCAACCAACAACATGGTCAACGGCAAGGCAGCCTCCTCATGCTCAGCATCTTCAGGCTGGAGCTCATTAAGGGGGCGCTTACCCTTGCCTTTGCCATCGCCTTTGACCTTCTTTGTGCACTGCGATGACATGTGGCCAGTTTGGCCACAGCTGTAGCACACAACGCTTTTCTTTCCTTCCGAAGACTTGGGGTGGGGACACTCTGCTGACATGTGTCCCTTTTCGCCACAGTTGAAACACGTGCGTCCTGCGCCTTTGTTGGCCTCTGAGCCTGTTTTCGCAGCAGCGCTGTCCTGACCTTTGCCAGGCCGCTTGCCTTTCGCTTTACCTTTCCCTTTCGCTTTTCCTTTTCCTTTGAGCGCACAAACATAAGCTTCATACTCATCATCCCACCAGTAGAAGTACTCACCGTCTTCAGCACAAGCCCACGTCTCATCATTGGCAGCCTCGGCCACCTCAGTTATGACATGGTTCACAGAGGGATCCAACCAGATCCTGTTTTGAGCTTCGTACCTCACACAAGCTGCACGCAAATCCTCGTACCGCTCCGAAGTACAATGCAAAACACAATACTGGCGACACCCAGACGGCAACGATCGCAGCAACATCAGCACTTTGTCGCTTTCATTGACTTCAACCCCATCACGCTCACGCAACGGAAGCGACGACACCAAACGCTGAAACCGAGAACACGGTCAACGGCAAGGCAGCCTCCTCATGCTCAGCATCTTCAGGCTGGAGCTCATTAAGGGGGCGCTTACCCTTGCCTTTGCCATCGCCTTTGACCTTCTTTGTGCACTGCGATGACATGTGGCCAGTTTGGCCACAGCTGTAGCACACAACGCTTTTCTTTCCTTTCGAAGACTTGGGGTGGGGACACTCTGCTGACATGTGTCCCTTTTCGCCACAGTTGAAACACGTGCGTCCTGCGCCTTTGTTGGCCTCTGAGCCTGTTTTCGCAGCAGCGCTGTCCTGACCTTTGCCAGGCCGCTTGCCTTTCGCTTTACCTTTCCCTTTCGCTTTTCCTTTTCCTTTGAGCGCACAAACATAAGCTTCATACTCATCATCCCACCAGTAGAAGTACTCACCGTCTTCAGCACAAGCCCACGTCTCATCATTGGCAGCCTCGGCCACCTCAGTTATGACATGGTTCACAGAGGGATCCAACCAGATCCTGTTTTGAGCTTCGTACCGCACACAAGCTGCACGCAAATCCTCGTACCGCTCCGAAGTACAATGCAAAACACAATACTGGCGACACCCAGACGGCAACGATCGCAGCAACATCAGCACTTTGTCGCTTTCGTTGACTTCAACCCCATCACGCTCACGCAACGGAAGCGACGACACCAAACGCTGAAACCGAGAACGCTCCACATCAATCATCCGTATGACTTCGCTGATCATTTCAGCCCTGTACTCCTTTTGCACGGCCTGGGTCTTGAAAAACAAGCCCTCTGCACGCGACTTGAGGGAAAACTCGCGCGCCAGCAAACGGAGAACTTCATAGCCATTCAGACTACCACGACTGTCAACTTCCAAGTACGCCCTAATAATCAAATCCGCTTTACTGAAATCAGCAAATGCCGAGCGGAGGATGCTGAATAACTTTGCAGACCGAGTAGCCTGCGCAGCAGTCATGCCACTCTGCTGGATCTCTGACTCAGCACTCAGCGAATATCTCACCTCCGTGGGGTAACTGTCATGCCCCAAACCAAGCCAAGCACAAAGCTCGTCAACATAGGAACGAAAACCAAGAACCTCATCAACTCTGCTTTTCCATTTGGAAGTTTCCGGTTTAGGCAACGGGGGCAACCACCGCTCTGCCCTTGAAAGCGCACCAAGACCATCCTCATGCCGGGACGACTGCGCCGATGACACACCAGCTCGAAACCCACGCAACTGTTCTCTTGGCAACTGTTCATCGTCATCACCAAGCGTCATATCAAACACCTGCGGAGTAGGTGGCGGCATCCTTCGCTGGGGGCTTTGCTCAACTCGGACTTCATTAAGCGACGCCTTCAAGCCTTGCATTGCCTCATGCATTTGCGCCAAGCGGTCAGACAATGAGACACACACGCTTTGCTGGCTTGCCAACAGCTCACCAACTTGGGTTTGTTGCTGTTTCTGGCTCTGCACTTCAAGTCACAACTGTTGCATCTGTCCTGACAGAGTACTCACCAGCCTCTGCTGTTGACCCATCTGTTGAGTTAGAGCCTGAAGGAAATTCTGCTGTTGCAACAACGAAGCTTCCAACTGCGACAAGCCTGCGGTAGGCGACAAGCTCGGCCCACGGGAAACTGGCACAGGAACATTTTCAGCATGCACAAAACCAGGCCGATCTGCCTCTCATACCTGCTTCCAGAGTTCTGGGCGAAGAAGGGTCCGTTGGACTACGCTCCCTATCGGCCATTGTGCTGACTTTATCCTACTAAGACACAAAGCGAAACCGCCAACCTGAACCGCGTCCGTACTTAAACTAGACTTACTAGAGCCGGCGATTACATAAGCCGGCTCCGCTACCATATAAATAAACACACCCTTAACCGTGGAGTTCCTGGATCTCTTAGGTACGCCGATCGAGTCACTCTTTTTCAGATTCTTGAGCCAAACACGTTCCGAATAATTCTCAAATGGCTGTTCGCTGCACAGGCTGTTCTCCGAAGAGCTTCCATGTCCGACAGTCCTTCGCATGCAAGATTCAGCTCTTCACCAGAAGCATCATGTAGCTTCTGCTCAGCTTGATTTGCGAGGTCACGAACCACCGCTTCATGGATCAACTATCATATCGTATTGGTGGGTTAGTTATATACCATATATAGTGTAACATATTCACACTAAACCCTAAACCCTAAACCCTAAACCCTCAACCCTCAACCCTCAACCCTCAACCCTCCACCCTACCCCCTGAGTCTTCGAAGTCCAAGGCACTCTATTGCATAGCTGCCTGCCAGAAGGCCGCCGGATCGGGAATGGCGGGGTCAAAGTAGGCCCCCAAGCCCAAAGCCTGTATAGGGTTTGGGGTTTAGGGTTCAGGGTTTAGGGTTTAGAGCCAGGGTTTGGGGTTTAGGGTTTAGGGTTTGGGGTTTGGGGTTTAGGGTTTCGGGTTTAGGGTTTCGGGTTTAGCACTAAACCCCCAGCGCACTCACACTTGCAGGCGGGTGAGGCCTGGTAAGGCTTTGAAATCTGCACACAAGACCGGACACCCGGAGCCCTCACCGGCCTAAAGCTCAGAGGACATCTCCTTCTCGGAATGTGGGGGTTTCCGAAATTATATTAGGGGTACCTTATTGGCGTCCTTATGACAAGGGAATCCTACTATTTTGGGGTGTATATTAGGGTTCCCTTATCTTCGTAAACCCCCATATTGAAGCGGCCACGCTCCGCTCCCTAATGCGACCAGTGCACCAACATGTCCTCTACAGGTTTGACATAGCAAGACAAATGTGTCATTAAGGGGAGGTTTGGGGGAGAAGCCTAAAATTAT